ATTTTCTCCATGATAAAACGCCTCTTTGTTAATTTTTTTTTCAATTTCCAGACGGCTTCGCGGCCCTCTAAAAATGTTTCGCGGCCAAATTTGGGCCGCGGACCATAGTTTGCGGAACGTCGATCTAGAGGTACTGTTTCCTCAAATTTTCTCACCCCAGCTCCAACCATGGTGTGTCTGAGGTGCTTGTTGACTCGCCACCTTTCAAAACAGATCTGTGCCCTTCCCTGGATATGACATTAATCTCTATCGAGTCGGCTCCTGATGTTTTTAGGATGTGATATTGTTTTTCATGTTAATTTTTCGTGATTATGACTATTCTGGATAAAGAATGTTTTGAGCAGAGGTGGATTCAAGGCCCGCCACCCCCCCCTCCCTTCATTTTTTAAGGAAAAAAAGGAAAAATTTATTCAAATTTAAGTGTGAGAGTGTAATTTCCGGCCATTTATAATACAATTTATATTGCAATTTTCACTTTATCCTCTCAAAACAGTCATAAGAACGTTCAGGTTGCGCTACTTCACAGGGGAATTCGCCCCCTGGATCCCGCCGGGGTCATACGTAATTCGCATAACTGCTCCTCCCCTTTCAAAATCCTGGCTACTACCCTGCTGAATACAGCTCCAATTGGACAGTACATCTGAAGTCAACACCTTTGTTTAATAAATAGTGAAGAAACTGCGTTCTTTAAAGTGCAGATAGTCTATATATGATGTGATACACGGTCTGTGTACACGATGGTAATGGTTAAAATGTGTCTTCCGAAAGATAAATGCAATAGGCCTATAATGTATATTTATGAAGGAGAGTAGATTGATGAAATAGAGACGAAAAGATCCACAAGAACAGTGCCTATACTAAGTATTAAATTCACTAAAATGTAAGAAGTTACCGGTAATGTCTTAAAACAATTTGAACGTACGTTTCTCACAGTAGTCTCCAGCGAATCCCTTTGGGCATATACATGCCCCGTTGAAACTGTGACACTGAATGTTTTGTGTGCAGTTGCATGCGTTACTACATCTCGCTCCATACATACGTGACGGACATCCTATGTTGAAACAACAAAAAGTTATGTTATTATTTTGGTGACGCAAAATCAGCAAATAATGCAGCGGTCTGTCAACTAAAACAGAAATAGGAAAACATGCCAAGCCCGAAACTGTTTCCACACTATCAAATTGTCTTTGACAAAAAGCTGTAGTATGTCCGTATATAGTCAAGATGTGCATATATATGGTCATGATGTGATGTCATCATGACCATATTTATGTTTTTGTCAAATATAATTGACAGGGCATTAGATCAAAACTTACTGCATCAATTCAATTATTACAAACCGATGATGTGGTCCTAACTGGCTGTCATGATCACTAACAGACCTCCTACTTAACAAATCATTCTGGAAGTGTTGAGAGTTATTATAACAACACATATGCAAATTTATCAGTGACGCATATCTACCATGTGAATGCTTAAATAGCTTCACATCTCTCTTTACTACCGACGTATTTCTAACCCGAATGATGTTATTCTTTTTTAACTCTATCTTTGATTAGATGACGTGGAAGCAAGCTCCCGGGTGTTGCATTTCATTGCTATAATTATGATCTGTTGCTCTTTTCACTTTATGTATTACAAACCGTTTTTTGGGAATTAATAATAGGCCTATAGTTGAAAAAATAGTCCTCTTTCTGTTTTGAGTCGGCTTCCTATAATTGTATTGAGCTGTCACTTGCTCATGTTGCGCATAATTATATATACTTCACCTTTATCTGAACTTCAAAATTTTCTTTTTCAACATTCGGTGACGTTTCATTCCTATTTTTTACCTCTTTGGTATATTACATTGTATTGTGGCTGCAGTCTATATTAACATGTTATTACCTTCACAACAATAGGCTAGATATGATATTAATTAATGGTAAAACTTAAAATATTCTTTAAGTGCATTTATTTCTCTTCTCCACACTAGCTTTCACACCTATACCAAAGAAATGTATATTACTCTTGTGCGCTACTGTCGTACGTACATATATGACGTGTTCCCTCTAAACTGCTACGCTGCGCGGTACCGTACATATTCTGTTTGATGTCTTTGAAGTTCACCACTGAAACTTACTCAAGGTCATACGCACTTTGCATATAGGCCTAATATTTCCAATATGATACTAATAATAATACATACCATTGATTTCTATAGTATAAGACACTTTCGGTGTTGCACTGTCTCCGCCAAATTGCGAAAAAAGAGCAGCAGTGCATATTCCTGTAATTCTGCCCTCAGCGACAAGATGTGGGAAGAATGTGTGCATAATCATGCCGTTATCCCATGGCAAGTCAAAGGGAACATTCTCAAGAAAAGGGTCATCGATGAATTCTAGAAGAAAAAATATCAAGCAAACAAATATTTACTACTTTGGCTATACATTATGAAAATATAGATCAACGGTGGTTCCCACAGGACGTAATGGATGCTTTTGCAGCTACGTCGCATTCTACTACTACAACGAAAAAATCCTAATCAGACATTGAAATAACTTGCAACAACTATTAAATTAAAATTATTATTTGTATTTATTATTTTGCAAAAATCTTAATGGTTTGAAACATCCCCATCCCAATTGCCTTCCACTCTTGTTTAATTTCCTTTCTCCTACACTGACATCATTTAATTGTACAAAGACAGTTGTAGGGCATTGAAGAATTGGACTTCATTACTTTACAGTTATATTGTTCCTCTAATAATATGCAATTCCGGAATATAAAAAAAGAAAGATACCACTACAAATATTAATATCAATTCTAGAGGTCGAAACAATATAGGAACGTGCTTTTACCATCGACGAGTATTTACCGCCATTTTCAGGCAATTTTTAATAAAGTAAAAAGAAATTCAAAAGAAAACTAGTCACACTTAATATTCATTACTCTAAACCAAGAAGAGGGGCACGTTATTGTTTGTTGGTGGTCGATGGAAGGTGAAACTTTCAGGTAAGTGTACGTCCATATAAAGAAGTAGGTTCAGATAGGCCTAATGATTTAAACTTCTAGGGGACTTATTGAAACATACCACTGTGACCAAGTGACGTCAAAGTAAACTCAGGAAGCGAAGATTTAATCTCTTGGTCCTGCCATTCACAATGAACTTGTAATGGAGATTTTTTGAGAAAATACTGTAGAAACACGTAACCGTTTTTGATGTACAGGAAAACATGGATACCACCTATAGAAATACAATGTGTTCTGACACGAATATCCATATACAGGTATACATAGTAAATAGTATTAAAATGAAGCTGCGTAATACCGTAAACACGATACAAATAAATAGATAAATAACAGTAATAATACTATTATTATAACAGTGCTAGAATAGGAACGTGATGCTATAATAATCGTATTCTCAAGCATATTGTTTGATAAACAATCTTCTCAGGATCTTATAGTTTTAAACGTCTTTCCATTTCTCTGTTTTCGTCCTTGTTCCTTTTTAAATTTTATGTCTGTACAGTTTGTTGATTATTGATCGATCGAATAAATAATTCAATTGAATTGAATCAAGCACAGCCCTTCAACAAATAGAAAAACAATAAGAATGCTCGAATAAGAACACATTTATCTATTTGTTTGTACATGTACATATATCTATATACTGGTGTATAATGGATTTTTATACATCGTATAAAGTGTTTATGAGGGCCAATGTCGTAGCCAGGATTTTCGAACAGTGCGAGACAATATCAAGGTGGATCAACTTTACGCGTAAATTCAACTAATGTGGACCCATTTTCTTAAAAGTTAACCCATTTTACGCAAAAATTTGAAAAATCTGGGACTATTTTCTTTAAATTATATATTTTAGGCTAAAATGGGAAGTCTGGACCCATTTTCCAAAATGGACTCCTTTTATGCATAAAATTGCATAAATTGAACCCATTTTCAAAAAGTGGACCCATTCTTTTGGACCCATCAACATATTTGTGTGGGACTATCCCAATAGCTGGCTACGACACTGATGAGGGCATATCATATACCGATATGTTATATCACAAGTTATATGTTACGGATTATACGCAGTAGGCCTACGTCCAGGACTACAAGGCTAAGGTCTATTTTTGAAGTCAATAAATTTTCGATTAATTTATTATAAATAAATTTAGTAATGAAACCAATAATCAATGAAATAAGGTGGTAGAAAACGCATAAACGTATTTAAAAAAACCTAGTGTATCGCTCACACATTCCATCCACATAATGAGCTTGACGAACAGGTCGTGGAGGGACTCCTAGGTTAGTGTAGTTCAAGTGCACGGTAGCTAAACTGTTGATCTAAAAAAAAAGTTAAAACACCAATTATCACCTCCCTTTATTGCAAATTTTAAAAGAAAAACCAAATTTATTAAAAACAAAGTAATTCATATATTACGTGTGTGTTTTATCTGATACGTTCGTAGGCCTATCCTATCTATAAATAAATTTTAGCTCTAAATTGTAGAAAAACGCACCTATCTTTTTGATCAGTGAAAGGAGGAAATTTTTTTTAATGTTTGGCAGACGAATCAACAATTAGCAATGAATACATGTTGCGGGAGGCTTGGAATCCCTATGTTCTTAAACCATGGCCTGGTCATTTGCTTTCAGGTCAGTAAATAAGTCTAAAAATAGCAGATTTGACGAGATTTTAGTGGTCACTACTTACAAGTTTCGGATCCGACGGGCTTTCTCGAAAGCATGATAAATCATAGGTTAAGCTTGTAACTACACTTACAATACAAGAGAGACTTACAAGCTTAGAAAACACAGCTACTGAGTATATCATTCTCTCAGGCTCTAATGTTCTGCGTTATAATATGCTCAGGTCGCAGTAGGTTCATGCAGACTGAGAGGTGTAGGATAGGCCGATTAATATAAGCGGTTATTTCCTCATCTAATCTGTTCCGGGTTGTTTACATTTGGTTTCCAAGTACGTTCCAAATATTCCACTACGCCCAGAACGTGGTCGGTAACTGGTATCACAGTATACAATGCAAGTCCCGAAATTAATGTTTGCTATCATTTTGGTGGCAATCATCTGTACATGTTCTTCAGCCCATGGCTACTGTCACCGGCAACGGGATAACATTCAGTCTGAGGTAGGTTAATTATACATACAGCATAGCAAAATTGTAAGTATTTTTTAAGTAATATGCTACAATATAATGGATAGCTACAATTAAATATGTATTTGCGAATAACCGGTTGTTAACCATGTACAAAAATAATTATATCATGCCACTGGCGAGAGAGTCTAAACAAAATAGGGACGAATTTACATGTATTGATGGATATAGATATAATAATGGTTTTAGGTATTTGAAATAAAGTTTCCAAATTTAGATTAAAAGATTGCAAAGCTTTCTGCTGACTACAAACTTTCTTGCACAATTTGCACATTGTTGTTGTTCACGCGGTTTAAAACTGCACAAGGTTCAAATCGCCTTGCACACAATCCAAGCCTCTCATCAATTTGAAAAAGCCGTCCAATATTATGCATTTATGTGGTCTCGTTTCCTAAAATACTGGTACGTCGACTTTTTATTAAAGATGTAATATTAAGTGTACTATTACTGAGGAAATACAGTGATGAACAAAAAACATGAAGACTTGTTGGTATAATTTCCCGCTTTTATTTGTTCTATCATTTTTTTTCCCCGTCAATTTACGCTCACTCTTAGCAATTCGATGTATTGTACACATGATTTTCAATTTGATAACAAATAACATCTTGCACTGTACTGGAACTGTACAATAGAAAAGAAGACATAGACTTGGAGCTCGGAGCAAGTCTACTCAGGACTGCACGAATACCATACCTCGTCTCATTAAAACATATTACCTCATAGTTGTTTAATCAGTTGGTTAGTTGATGCAATAACCTTAATTGATGTTTTTTTTTTAAGAACACTTCCTTGTTATATGCTGATGTCAACATAACAACACTAAACCGAGATTTTGAAACAACCGAAAATAGCTTTGATGTGCTGTATTTCATTGATCAACCATGTGAGAATTCATTCCTACTAAAAAAAGTTTACATCTTCATATACCGATACTTGGTATTTTCTTATGTCTGAGCATTACATAACTTTATATAATGTTTTCATGCTAAGTTAACGGTATAAAAATGCATGTACTAGACCTAGCATGTTTGCAGCTGTAGCAGTAGTAGCAGCACAGCGGTAGTTCGCTAGTAGTAGCACAAGGAAACAGTTAAGCTCTTAGGTAGTGCTGTAGCACTGAATCTATAGCAGCAGTGGAACTCTAATAGTAGGCTAGTAGAGCCTAGTTGTTGTAGCGTCTATCATAGTTACCGTATCCATGAAAAGAAACTTTTAATAATTACAGGTACTCTAAACATCTATATGAACATTAAAAATGTAACTCTATCGGAATCCTTTTCCGAAGCGATCCCCAATCTTATAATGCAGTGCAAGATTCCTGATCCATTAATTCCTTGAATTGCAATGGAACATGTACGTGTAAGGCCGGGGTCCAGTGTCACAGCTTCAGTAGTGAATGTTTGTGTCCGAGAGGCCTACAGGGTGAAACATGTGATGAACGTAAGTTATTCTTTCATGTACATGGTGTTATGGCTGTCTCTTATACACATCTAGATGTGTATAAGAGACAGCTTCCTTGTTATATGCTGATGTCAACATAACAACACTAAACCGAGATTTTGAAACAACCGAAAATAGCTTTGATGTGCTGTATTTCATTGATCAACCATGTGAGAATTCATTCCTACTAAAAAAAGTTTACATCTTCATATACCGATACTTGGTATTTTCTTATGTCTGAGCATTACATAACTTTATATAATGTTTTCATGCTAAGTTAACGGTATAAAAATGCATGTACTAGACCTAGCATGTTTGCAGCTGTAGCAGTAGTAGCAGCACAGCGGTAGTTCGCTAGTAGTAGCACAAGGAAACAGTTAAGCTCTTAGGTAGTGCTGTAGCACTGAATCTATAGCAGCAGTGGAACTCTAATAGTAGGCTAGTAGAGTATTTGCCTAGTTGTTGTAGCGTCTATCATAGTTACCGTATCCATGAAAAGAAACTTTTAATAATTACAGGTACTCTAAACATCTATATGAACATTAAAAATGTAACTCTATCGGAATCCTTTTCCGAAGCGATCCCCAATCTTATAATGCAGTGCAAGATTCCTGATCCATTAATTCAAACAAGCGTTCCGTATTCAGCGATAGTACGCGTTGGAAATCGCTCGGTAAACGGTACGTGGTTTGGTTTTTTTTTAAATCTTAGATTTATGTTCCCACTAGGCTTTAACTATGTTTAAAAATGTTTATTAAGACCAATCAATGTTTTATGTATCTCTTAAGCATTATCTTTAGTAACAGAGACATATTTGGAATGCTGATTCAGGATGCATTGTCATCATTACAACCAGTCACTACCATCGTCGTCATCATCATCATACATTTTCTCCATTATCACCACAAATCACCAACACCGTCACAACCATCACCGCTAGTACCAATAGTACCATCACCATAACGGGCATAATCATCAATCATAACCATCATCATCACCACCACCATCCTATAGGATGGCTATAGCCATCATCATAATCATGATCATCATCATTATCATCATAACCTTAAACCATCATCATCATATCACCATCATTACGCCACCACTATTTGATCATCAACAGCATCGCCTGCTTTAGATTCAAATATTGTCTTAAAATGAATATAGTAATTTTCTATTCCCTTACTTGTTTGTAAAAAAAAGCAGGACTAAATTGTTATCATTATTGTTGTCACATATTGCAATATTTATTTTTTTAATTGATTTATTAAAAGTTTTGATAAAGTGCGACAGGAAATAACATATTAAACTAAACAATAGTTTATGTATCACTCTCATAATTTACGTTGGTATATTTCAGAAGGGCCCGTGTTACCGAAGCATGACTTACCGGATTGGTTTGACGATTTGGTAATTCAGTTTTATTTTGAAAATCTTTTTGCGAAGGAGCATATTGTTGAAAGCTGTTTTCTGATGCTAAGACAAATACAAAATACAAAACTTGCAACTAGTTCTTTCAATATCCAAGTTTTAGGTAATTATTTAACTATGTTTACATGATCAGGTAGATGTTATAGCATTGAGAAAATGTATTTCCCAACGAGTTCCATCTTCTCAGACAAGGGGCAACACCCACCTAAGACACACCATGGTTAGAGCAATTTTAAGAATATGTACCCCTAGATGCCCCATAATGGCTCTCACACAGCCCCATAGCTAAGTAGGCCAGAGGGCCATGCCCCTTGCTAAATGTTTGGCCCACTATAAAAATCAAATTGATAATTGGATATGAAAAAATAAAAATAAAATAATGAGCAACAAATATATATACAGTTGCTACATCCATATTTTATATTCAGTCCCAGCCCACTGGGTGTAGCCCTTCTAATACTTGGCCCCCTGACGAATTACTGACCGAGGTGACATTGGTCTTTGACATTTTCTTCCGAAATTTTAATGGTGTCTTTCTTTGATTATTATGTACAATTCCACTAAATTTTATGATGATCCATTCATTGGGGTTTGCGTAATTTTTATGACAAACTGAAAGATATACAGACAGCAGTGTATACATAGCCTTCTTGGCGGGGTAATAAAAATAAAAGGCATTATGCTTACAAAGGATCAGGGCTACATACAATTTGTGACTTTGCCTACAAACATTATGTTTGTTGTAGGTTGTCCGCCACAAAAGTTTGGCTTGAATTGCAATGGAACATGTACGTGTAAGGCCGGGGTCCAGTGTCACAGCTTCAGTAGTGAATGTTTGTGTCCGAGAGGCCTACAGGGTGAAACATGTGATGAACGTAAGTTATTCTTTCATGTACATGGTGTTATGGCGCTTACTTTATCTCTCATTTCCAATATTCTGTGCATGTAACATTTGCAATAATATGCTTTCAACACATGACTCAAGACCTCAAGACTTACTTTGTATATATATTTGATATTAAATCTTCCATTGTTTAATCCTGCATGTTATCGATATAAGTTCTGTACGGTTTCAATTTAAATCGTTGTTAGCAATAATAATTGTAAAATTATAGCTTTGTTGTTGCATCAGTCTGCTTAGCAAACATAATTGAAAATTCCATGTTTGAACATACAATTGTTTTCAAATTCAATATTATGGACCAACAGTCAGTCCGGTTTTGGATGTGAGGTCACCAAATGATGTATACCTTGTTTGGGGGTCAGATTATGAGCTGGTTTGTACTTCTCATGGCATTGCCCACGCCGACCTACAATGGATAAAGGCTGGGGAAAAGTTAGATGTCAACACAACGACTATTCCAGAAAGTTATTTGCCTCAGTAAGTGTTCAGAATTATAGCGGTCGCTCTCCTATAAAATCAAGAAAGGGATCGTTTGAGTGCAACATTGATTACGTGACATAAAAAACTACCGTCTTTGGATTGCTTATGACTCCTATTACTTCAGTGACGATAATGACGATGATATGATGTTGATGATGATGATAATCATGACAATGATAATAATGGTAATGACGACTACGTCAACGACGATATGATGCTGATACTGATGATGGTGATAAAGAAGTTGATATTGATGATGGGGATGATGATGACGACCATGTTGATTATGATGATGATGATATCTTTATTTACTTGACGGTATGTTTTTTTAATGATCAATAAGTTAATGACGCATTCCGATACTTTAATATATTGTATGGAATGATAATTTAAAAAGTATTTAGTAACACAGACAGGTTAATGAGTGTGCGTATGTAATGAATCGTATTAGAACTGTAGATTCTTGGAGAACAGAGGCGGATTCAAGGGGAGGCCTAGTGCCCACCCCCTATTTTTTTTTTAAATTGTAAAAAAAATTGAAAGAAAAAAGAAAAAAAGAAAATTACACTCAAATTTTAAGCCTGAGATTGCCATTTCCGGAATTCTAGAGGTGACATAATCGTAAATGTTCTTACCTCAGCCCCAACCATGGTGAGGTATGAGGTGGTATAGACCTTCCATCTCTCAGAGTCCCTCCCTGGGCCTCCTGCTCACCTGCTCACCCAGATGTCTGTAGGCAAGTTGGCCTGTCAGTTGAAAGCCTCTTCACTAGTGCCCTCCACTCAGATTTATCTTAAGTCAAAGCCTTGATCTCTGCAAAGCTTTTTCTCTCCCATTTGGTGATATCTTTGATCTGATCTTCCCATCGTTTCCTAGGTCGGCCTGTTGGTCTTTGGTCTTTTTGTTTTTGGTTTCCAATTATACATTCTTCCAATGCCATTCCTGGAGTCTGGCATTCTCAGAACATGACCATACCACATGAGTTGTTTTGCTGTAACTAAGCTTCAGGCCCGCCTTGGTAAGTTCAGTGTCCCATTGGTTCATGATGTTTTGAAGTCGTGTGATACTTTCCCCTGTCTGTGCTACGTCGTCAGCATGGTGTACGATAAGAATGGCCCCGGAAAAAATGGCCCAGGAAAAAATGGCAAAGGAAAAAATTGCTCCGGAAAAATGGCCCCGGTAAAAATGGCCCCAAATGACAGAGTAGGTAAAAATGGCCCCAATAATAAAATTCTGTATTAAAACTGATTTTTTAAAAAACATTATATGCATTTTTTAAACTGAAATATTTTAGTTTTTAAAAGGAATCTAACATCAAATAAATTGCCATTTACATTTTACTTTTTGCAGAAATTACATATTCAATGATAAAATATTCAAAGATAAAAAAAAGCCATGAATAACACTTTTTTTTCCATTTAAATGTTAAAAATTAGCAACAACATAATCAATAAATCAACATAAATCATGCATTTATTAATACTAAAATAATTTATTTGTGGCCAATTTCAAGTAAGCGGAATCACAATTTTCCAGAAATTCAATCCGGGTATTGGTAAACCCCACAAACAATGAGTTTATATGAACATCAAATTATTA